TGATAGTACACCAAAATTTTTGTTATTGCTGAACAATGCTTACACAGCATCAAGATTGATGTTTAGCACCATATGTGTTCCTGCAGCAGTGTCTAGAGATGTCAGCTCACATTGGGTAACATTACCAAAAGGGAGAAATACATTATCTCTGAGCAAGGCAGCTCCTACACTTCAACAGTTGATAGAAGAGAAGGTGAGGGGGCTGTGGGGGTTTTTGGTGACTTTTTTCAGGAAAACTACACTAGAAAAAAGACCAGATTTTGCTTTACAACAAACCTCTCTGTGTTTATTGCAATATTCTGTCATTTTCCCCTTTCTTAAACTGAGATTGTTATCCTGCACATGAGAAACGTTGTTTAAAAAAAAAATCACTCTATATCTTTCACACCAAAAGCCAAAACAAAACCAAATCTTTGTGAGAATTTTCTGGAAAACCAATGCTGGAAAAAACTTTATTATTTTTGCTAGCTCTAAACCACTGACTAATTGTATTGAGATTTAAAAAAAAAAATCCTCTTCTGATATATGTGGTAAAAGAAAGATTTGGGCTGTTTATAGTGAAGGTAGGAGGTGTTAAAATTGGCTTCTGTGCTGAAACTCACTGACTACAGAACAAAGGATCTTTCAATTCCTTGTAAGAGTTGCACTTTCAGAAAACGTTAAAGAAAATTCACCCAGGAATTACTGCATATGTTAGAAAATTTAGGAGTAAGGAAATTATTAATAAAGTTGATTGGGGTCCATGTGAGAGCCTGAAAGCAGAGCAGAAGTTGCAGACAAGTGTTTCATGTTGAATTTTGTGAGGGGCAAGCTATAACACCTTTAACAGTTTATGCAGATTAGACCATGTAAAATCAGAGGACGGTGCAGTTAACAGAAAATAGGTGAAGTTAACAAAGCTCAGAGAAATGAGCTAGACCAACAGATTCAGAAATGGAATATAATACTTTTTTCCAAGATGTATGCTTGAACAAAATAAATGCCCAAAGCTAAACGTAAACAGTTGCTACCTGTCAAATGTAGCGGGAAAGAAGAATCTGCACATAGTGGTACACTCAGATTTTCAACTTTTGATCTAAGGCACACAAAGAGTAATGAAGGCAAATGCAAAGAGTACTCTAAGATCATGATGCTCTCAGTCTCCATGACAGATTGTTCTTCTGCATAACCGGAGTTACACATTGTTTGAAAGAAAACATACATTTCCAGTAGACAAACAAAAACCAGACAGCAGGCCAAATAAAATGATAAACAAAAAAGAAAGTTTTACACTTCCCATTAGAGTCTGTAGATACTTAGTCTTGATAAATGCCTAATAAGAGCTGACAGTGGTGAAGAAGTGAAACCCTCAGAAGGTGACAATAGAATTTAAACTGCTGTTGTGAGAAAAAGGGGAGACCAGGAGACCTCAGGCTTAAATTCTAAGATAAAGTGTAAAGGGTGAATGTATTATTTTACAGAAAATATTTGATATGGACATCTCAGAAAGATACTAAAAGTCAGATTGTACTCAACTAAAAACAGGATAACGGTATGGAATGTTGGAAGTTCTATTCCAAAAGTGATTACATAAAAATTGCACCTTCCTACTCAACAGATTTGTTTGCTCTATTTATTCAGAGTCAGCCCTATTTAACTCAAAGACAAAAAAATGCCTTTACAACTTTTTATTCTTGTCCTGTCTCTTTACAGAGCCCACACAATTCAGTCAGGGCGTCAGTCTAGATGTCATTCATTCTTGTGCAGCAGATAAATTACTTCGCAAGTTTCAACAAACTGTACTTCTTAGAGCAACCAGAACATGGATTCAGTGCAAATATTATGGCAATAAATTTTACAGCCTGAATTTTGAGGCAGACTTAGAAAACATCTTTGTGGGTTCTCCTGGACATAAAGCTGGTATGTTAAATACTGACTTCCCCAATGGGGTCATGGGGTTTTTACCGCTGTCTTCAGTCAAACCTAAACATGAATTAGACATAAACTAATTTCCGATATCCTTCTGTCATTTTTTGGCTTGAATGCATTCGACGATGGCAAAAAAAAATCCTTTGGATGGCAGTGTAGCTCTTAAAGAGACTTTCTCCAGATTCTCAAACATCCTTCACTATTTGTAATAGGATACAAACATATATATTTACAGAAAAAAATCTATAATAGACATCTCAGCATAGATGATATATCAGTTGCTATTCCCTTATCCACCAGCACTGTGGCCCCATCGTAGAAGGCCACCAAATTTGTCAGGCACGATTTGCCCTTGGTGAAACTATGTTGGTTGTGGTTAATCACCTCCTTGTTTTCCATGAACCTTAGCATAGTTTCCAGGAGGATTTTCTCTATGATCTTGCCAGGCACAGAGGTAAGACAGACTGGTCTGTAGTTTCCCAGGCACCACACTTACAGCCCCTCCAGAAGTCCAAGTGGGCATTTCTTTATCTCCCTAATGGTCCAGACACTGTTTTAAGCTCCAGCCGGAGACCAGTGCCAAATGGAAACATCCGGACCTTCTTCCTATGAGAAAGGCTGTAGCTGCAAAACATAGCGCTGATTCCTGCCTTCCTTGGTGCCGCACGTGCAGCCCCTCTGGTACTTGCGCTCTGTGCCTCTTCTTGGGGCACAGTTTTTCACTCCAGCCAGAGACCAGGGCCAAAACTGGAAACAATGGGCGATTGCTTCTAAGCAAAGGCGCTGGAATCAAAAACCAGTGCTGATTCTTGCCTTCCCTTTCTGAGCTATTTAAAACCACTCTGGCACTCGGGCTCTGTATTACTTTCTCTCAAGAATAATCTGGAAAAATTGGAAACATCCAGAGATTGTGCCAATGTGAAAAATGTTATCAGCAAAAGTCAGTGCTGATTCTAACCTTCCACTGGCAATACTTTCACAGCTCCACCAACATGACATTCCATGATTTCCTACCTACCTCCCTAATAGTTCAGATGTTTTTTCCCCACTTTTGCCAGAGCCCCACTCCAAAACTGAAAATGTCCAGTGATAGCTCCCATGTGAAAGGTGCTAGCAACAAAAGATAGTACACCCTCTCACTTTCCCTTGGCAGCGCTTTCATAGCCACACCAACACTGGATCTCTGCACTTGCCTAGTCACCTAATAATACGGACATTGTTTTTCACTCTTGACGGAGTCCAGCTACGAAGTTGAAAACGTCCAGCAGTTACTCCAACATGGAAAATGCTATCACCAAAAGCTATCGGTAGTTCTGACTTTCCCTTAGCACTGCATTCACAGGCATACCAACAGTGGTGGTCTACATTTCCCTACCTAAGGGTTTAGTCATGTTTTTTCACTCTCAACAGAGCCCAGCTCTAAAATCAAAAAGGAATTGCATACTTGGAAAAAGTGTTAACAGCAAAAAACTCTTGCTGATTCTCACCTTCCAGTGGCACTACACTTACAGCCACTCTGGCGCTCCTGCTCTGCACATATTTACACCATGGGAAAGGTGATGGAAGCAATAGAAAGCTAGTGCCTTTGCCTTGAAAGCAATCGCTGGATGTTTCCAATATTGATGCTGGGCTCTGGCTGCAGTGAAAAACACTGTGCAGTCCATTCAGGAGGTAAGGAAGCACAGAGTGCAAGTCCCTGGGGGGCTGTAAGTGCAGGACCAAGGGAAGGCAAGAATCAACACTACTTCACTAGTCTCCTAAGAAAAATCTCAGTGACAAAGCATCCAAGAGAGCCAAGGTTTCTGCTGGCAAGTGGCACTTGTTCGTTCATGCCTTGGTCGTCTCCTCTGCCTCGCTTTCCTCCAGTGTCAGATTTCTTTTCAAGATCTTCCCATTTCCCTGATTTTCTGATTTTTCTATCCTTTTATTTTACTCAGACTCTCTATTTCCCTTTTCCATTCTGGGAGGGAGCTACAGATTCTATGGGCAACTTTGGCAGCGCTTTCATGGACTTTCAGCTCCAGCGCCATTTGCGGTTAAGAGGCGTTAAAACCAGAACCCAGGAACGTCTTTGTCCTTTTGACTCTTCCAAAAAACTAAGCAAGCCCAGCACAATCAGTTAACTGAGCCAAAAGGCGTCGAGAGCAGTCCCAGTGGCACTGGTATGTGAGGACAACAAGCCCTAGGAAGAAGTTGTTTCATTCCCCAGGTGGAGCGCTCAGGGAAGTTCCATTAGGCAATGTTCTGTCATATTGTTGGGGCAGGGAGTGGGGATGATGGGGAGCATTTGTGTTGCTGCATGCTGTTTTCTACAGCGGGAGTATGGCACCTGTTCTCTCAACTGGTTTAGGCAGCTTTGTAGCACCTGAGTACATGCTGCTAAGCAGAAAAGATATTCTGCGCCAGAAATGACTGCCTGTAACTGACTGAAAAGACTCCTGAAGATGAGTCTGCAAAATATTCCAAGATCCCGCTAGCTGAGAGGCACTACAAATATTAACTATTTTCCCCAGAGTGATATTCCCCACCTCTGGCCTCCGTATCATAGCCTATGGAAGTACCCAGAGAAATGTTGCACAAAGAAAAGGTGCCTGAAAATCTTTATTTTTTGAAAATTTTTGAGAATATGGATATTGAGCAAATGGTATTAAGGTTAGAAATTGCTGATATTCAAGGGAGCCCTGTTGGGCTTTTTCTACGCGGAAGCTCTAAAAACGTTGTTTCTGACTACCACTCTGCACCTGTTGCTACTGTGCGTTACTTTAGCTCCAAGGGCACCACAGCTAAGGATGTGTATGCTGCCTACTTTTGACGGAAGCAGTCCTAGGCAGAAGCTTAGGATATGTGTCTCTTGAACATTATTCTGCCAAATATTTCCATAGAACTAGGCACATGCAAAATGCAGAGCAATCGTCAGGTGTGTTCATGGCACACCGGCTCTTTCATTTTCTGTGAGTCCAAAACCAACATTTGCACCCTAAGCTCTGAGGTCACCGTGATTACTTTTGACTCTCTGGTGCAGCGCTCCTCCTCCTACTAGCAGGAGAAAGGCAGGAGAAAAACGTATGGGAAAGAAGAGGCAGATGTTTTACCTGGCAGGAGTCTTTCCCTCCCTCCAAGAATCCCACACATATCATGTTGTTGGTAATTTTCCCTGGGTAGGCATGGGTGCACTTGCTTGAGGTGAGTACAGGAGCCTTCAGGCACTCCAAAGTGTCTGGATACAGATCTACAAGAAAATAGAGAGAGATGGTTGATGCCATCACTGAGTTCCTTTCCGAAAAGTAATCACTGAACATCCTGTTTTAAGCAGTCATCACTTTTCCTCTGAACAGTAATCATAGCATGGATTTCTTTTGTTTTAGATGGATGATATCTACCCACGGGCCCCCTGTCCTACATGGCAGCCACGTTAGTTTTTCTGATACCTAGAAAGTCATCAATTGGCAAGTGTGGAGCTAAGAGCCACTCACGTAGTACATACGCTGAGGAAACCCAGGCCTCAGGAAAACTGTCCTCTCCTCTAGTGCAGGGTTAGTTGTCTTCAGTGGATTAGACACCAGTCTCCGTCCACACCTCTGAACGTTGGTGTAAGAGAATGGAGCTCTATTGTAGTAGTTTTTATATCAATAATAGCAGATTTTGATCTTGTTCTCGGAGAATTGATAACTGACATTAGTTAAGTTGCTAGTGCTTGGCACTTGCACAGCTGATAGCATCACGCCACAAAACTTATGGTGGTGTGAACACACTGGTGAAAAGCACATGGATGACTTAAATGATTCCATGTTCGTAACCCAGAGCAAAGAGGACAGGCCTTATACAGGCTTGCCTTTAAAGCAGTTAAATGGTTACTCTCCTTCACAGAACGATCACTCAAAAAGGCCTGTCCCACAGCACTTATCTGTGCTTTACGCTCTACTGTTCAGAGTTAATTGTGAGGTCTCAGAGTGTCTCCAAGACCCTCGTGATGCTGCGCATTCCCACCGAGTACTCACTGCCATTGCTGAGTGTGTTGCCCCAGCCTGCAGCAGCACAGCTGCTAGGCAGAAGGAACTGTTTGGACAGCTCTGTTGAGCTGGGCTGGTGTGGCAAGCTTGATGAGCATAATGTCATTGTTCAGTGTTGAGGAGCTGTAGCCAGGGTGGTGGATGATTTTAGCTGCACTAATCAACTGCTGTGATGATTCTGTGAGTGCCAGGTTATGTTTCCCGAGCTGCACTTGGATACGACTGGAAAAGAGAAGGAGTAGCATATACTTTACTGCTACCAACAGGTTATGAAGAACCTCCACATCACCGTATGCACTGGCTTCAACATCACTATTGTAAGTGGTTCTTTTCATGCAGATTGTCTTTCGTATCTTACAATAAGTCCTGGGGATCCACACTGAGTTCTTACTCACTCCCAGTACAGGTGGTGAGATTCTGCAGGATTTTTTGTTCGGACGGGATAAGCTGAATGTTTTATAAAAACATTCTGAAAAAGGCAAAACACTTCCGCCCTGACCTCATTCCTCTTCCTGTTCTCCAATGACTAAATTTTAGCAAGATTAATGGAATTTATAAGAAAGCGCAGCCCTTGACTTTTTGCTAATTATCACAATGTCATTTCAGAAAGTGCCCTGCATTCATAGAAGCATTTGCAGGAGTGGAAGACCCCTTATGACACCTCAGCCCAGCTTCCTGAATGAGCCATCCATTCCTTGGTTGTCTCCTGTCTGGACAGAGTCACTTGTATGTTTGCATCCCACATCTCAGAACTCCTGCCAGAGGTGAACTGGAAGAAAGGAGTAGATTTCAGAAGAATAGAATTTGTTTTCATTCACGACTTGTAGCAGTGGGCAGCTGACAGGACCCATTGTCTGTTGATGAGGGAACCTTCACAGAAATGTTACCCAGAATTCAGGGACACCTGATAGGAGACAGAGTTTGCGGTCTTTTTTTTTAATCTCTGGACACATTTTGGTGTTCCTGGATCAAGAACCCCGTGAGGGCCTTCATTCCCCATTTTGTGACACAAGCTATTACCAACAGACAGCAGTCAAAAGAAGTTGCAGTACTCTGCCTTAAAACTTTTGCAAGTTGAAACTGGACTTCACTTTCCCACAACAGATTGCCTTGCAAATTTGCTCAGAAAATGACTTTCATTATAAATGGCAAAAATAGAAGTAAAAAATACACTTACCAGCCACTCCAACAAAGGTGACAAACAGTATGTATTTCATGATCTTGACACAGCCTGAAGCCCAGACTGGTGGAGTGGAAGTGTGAGCTGCTAGAAATAGATTTTTGAAGTAGCCTTATCTTTAGTCCAAGGTTTTCTCTGAACAAAAAGCACACAGTGGAAAATTTGAAGATCCAAATGTGGGCATTAACAGGCACTGGTAGAAAGTACAAATAAGATAACAGTTAATCATAAGCCTTTCCTAAGACAGAGAGCTATTTTAAATTATTTCAGAGGGCCACCTTCAATTTAAAAATACATTCGGGCTTTGGAAGACGTGTAGTTGTTTGTCTGTTTCATTCTCATACACAGTACCTGTTGAAAGCAATCCTCATGAGATTTGAGATTCCTCTGGGCTGATGGCCTCGGTCTTAAAAATCCATATTTTTTTAGCAGAAGCTGAGTATTGTAGGAAATGGACTGTAACATACTATACTTTCATTTTCAAGAGAAAAACCCCAAAACCTCTCATTGTAGTTAAATTTATTTTAGCAAATTCCTTTTCTTCAGTAATGTGTATCATATAGAACACAGTATTTTCCCAAATAAATTCAAAAGCAATTTCAATAAACGAGCATGAAGAATCTTACCTGTGCCTGCCCACCCTCCATGTCACCGCCCCTCCCATCACTAAAGTGTTCAAAAGTGGAAATGTGCACCATATCTCTTTGAAAGCATTTCTCCCACCTAATCCACATGATGATATCACCTAAATAGTGAACAACGTTTTTTATTTAGGTTTGGAATGTTCTACAGGCAGTCATTTTTGCCACAGAAGACCTTCAGTATAACACCGATGTCTACGGCTGTACTAAGGATGTAATGAAATCCTTCTCCGAAAGAGTAATAGTTTCTATCACGACACTGAGTTTATGAAAGCTTAATGCTTTTGATGAGTAATCAGTTTCCAAGCAGCTGCCAACTTCATCATGTTATCTTCTGAAACACGTGGGATAACCTCAAGGGACTGTAAATGGAAGCCATATGCTTTGAGGTGCTGAAATGGCATGAGAGACTAAATATCCATCATCTTTCTAACTCCAGTTCTTGATCAATTTTTTGAGAGATCTGGAGGACTGGTACACCCAGTGGCACTGCCCAGATGGAAATTTTCCTTCATGTTATAGTACAAGGAGGGCAGCTGTGTTAGATATGATCAATGGACAAGCAGTGGCATCTTGCTTTTCTAGAAGTCCATGTTCCTAGCTGAAGTCAGTTGTATCATTACTTGACTCTGATAAAGTAAATACATTTGTTCAGACTGATGCAAGATCCTGGGAAAGGGAAATCTGGCAAGACCATGGGCTGACAGAGCTAAATCTTCCAAGGAGCATAAAGTGGAGGAGTTTCTGAGGCTAGTCCTTGTACATCTCACAGAGCTTGGTGGTGGAGGGACAGTTGTTTCTCCCTTCCCAAGTCTCTCCTGCCTGGGATGAGCTGGTTGAAAGACACTCCATCTGACCTAGTAACATCAAGTCCCCTTTGCTGCAGTCAGGGAGAGTGTGTGGGGAAGGGTTTTGCATTGTCTGCTCTTTTCATCTGTAATCGACGGTCATAGACAGGCTCCTAGTTCAAAAATATGCCAGTGTCGTTTTCTCCAAAGTGGTGACCCTGGGGGTGCGCAAGACTGTCCACTGGGGTGTGGGAAGGAAGTATTAGAACTTCAGTATTATATGCGTATAATCAATAACTAAATATACATATACTGGGGGTGTGTGCTCAGAATACTTTACTGACAGGGGTATGCAATCAGAAATGTTTGGAGACCACTGTTCCAGTGATTTCAACAAACACCTTACATGAACTTTCTTCTGCTACAACATCAGCCTCCACCTCTGCAGAGCCTTCACGTTCTCTCTGATTTCTTCAATACTAGGGATTCTTTCCTCTCTTTCTCAGCCCCGGCTTCCCCCCAGAGAATTAAAGTCTCAGCTGCATTTGCCATTTTTCATTTCTCAACCTACACAATTGTGTATTATGTGCTTTCCACCATGACACAGCTCTTGCATCCTGTTCCAAAGGTGCCATGGAAGTAAAGGTGCCAGTGTGAAGTCTGCACAGACTTCATTTGCGAAGTTCTTTGGAAGCTTCTGCTCTTCTATTCTTTTCCTGACTCAGGGTGGTAAAGACAAAGCCTCACATTTCAGAGTAGCACACAAAGAACTCAGGAGGATATTTCAGGAGTTGCTGTGAAAGCTTCTGCAGTTTCAAACTCTTTTGGCTCTTGCTAATTCTTCTGTAGCTCATTGGCTGCTTTAGGAGACTTTAAGGGAATGGATTCAGACCTGGTGCTGTGAAACTCCATCCTCTTTCAGTTGCTTTTCCTGGGGATGCTGATAATGACAAGATTGTGGGAGGCTACAATTGCCCAGAGCATTCAGTATCCCTATCCTTGAATGTTAGATATCACTTCTGTGGTTGTTCACTCATCAACAACCAGTGGGTCCTGTCAGCTGCTCGCTGCTAGAAATCATTAATATGTGTTGGGCTGTGTATCTGGATTCTAGTCAAATCTTGCAAAGCCACCAGATTTGGAATATGGTGCTTAGTAGAAGAAGAGACTCGAAGGTGGCAGTGCATGCTGTATCTGAAACCAAAGGAGAAACACCACCCTCTGTCTCACTGCATCACATGATCTTTACAATATTCCTCTGCTCTTGAGTTCCTTTTCTGTGCATCCTAATATGCCTTTCTGTGCACGTTTGCGTGTCGATGTGACACACCATGACTTTTTTCCTTTTTCATTCCTCCAGACTTTCTCCATGGACCTTCTCCATGTGCATCCTAATATGCCTTTCTGTGCACGTTTGCGTGTCGATGTGACACACCATGACTTTTTTCCTTTTTCATTCCTCCAGACTTTCTCCATGGACCTTCTCCAGAATTTAGGGCATACCTCTGCAGAGAGAGCACAGCTCAAGAATCACATTCCTCTGCAATAGGAAATTAACCTTCCTTCCCTAAGCATCACTCTAGGTGTCTGAAGTGATCAATCTATACCTGCACCATTGCCACAGTTGCCAGCTGGGGATCCACTGCACAGGATGTCCAACTAGCAAGGATCTCCAAAGTCTGTCTTTCATGAAATCATAAAGCTCCTAGAACTCCATGACACATACAACTTTGATTAGGGCAACACTCCGTTACTCTGTTCCCAGTGTCAGCCAGTCGCCATGGGGTACCAAGTTGTTCTACCTACCCATGGTTACCTGCCTCTCTTCTCTGCTGGTAAGTTTGCAGCCATGTATGAGTGAGGATGAGATGGTACAACATGGATGTGAAGGAAGACAGTGAACTAGTCACGCATGCCACATTAACCATCCTGGATACGATTCAAGAAACCTTGATAACAACATTATGTTGATCAAGCTGGCAACCACCATGGGCATTCAACCCACAACTCTGCCAAGGAGGATCGCAAGTGCTTTTTTAAAGATGAGGAAACACACTTGAGCTGTGGTTGTGAGTATCAGTGCAAGCTGCATGTAACTGGTAACGGTTCTCCTGCTCTGCCGCCACGGACATTCCACTTCTGCTTTGCAGCCTTTCCATGTTCTGCCTGCGGGTTCCCCAAACTCTCCGGACAGTATGCCCTTTGCATTTGCTCATGCAGCTAACGGTTGCCCTGCTTTTCTGGATGGCTTTTGTGTATAGGTCTAGAGGGCCGACAGTGCTGAGTCTCAAGATGAAAATTAATTTTCACTGCTGTCCAGTTCCCCTGAGGTTCTCTACTGACTGGGAGATCAAGTTCTGAGTAAGCAAAAGTGCCAAGAAGTTTACTCAGGCCAGATCACCAGCAACATGATCTGTGTAGGTTTCCTGGATGGTGGGAAATGCCAGGGTGCTTCAGGCTGCACAGTATATGTCAGACCTTGGCAGAGTGCTTAGGCCTTCTCATCTCCAGGTTTTCTGTACTCACACAGTACCCTTCCAGCAGGGTTTTAATACAGGGTGGATGTCACCTGAATTAACAGGGCCAGCCACATCTGCTGGGCGTCTGTTGGGGGGAGGGGAAGTCAGTAAACAAGAGGTGCAATATTTCTGTGCTCCCATATCAGGACTTGGCTGCATTTCACTTTGGATTTTTTGTACGAGGTTAAAAATCTCACCAGGTGAGATCAGCTCTGCTTCTAATTTTTCTCTCCAGGGTGACTGAGGTGGCCCAGCTGTATGCATTGGAAAACTCAGGGAATCATGTCATGGGGAACTGAGTGTGCTCTGAAAGCTTTTCCCTGTGTCTACACCAAGGTCTGCAATTACACTGATTGAATTGAATTGAAGAAACCATTGCAGCCTAGTGATATACTGGTGACTTCTGGCTTCTTGGCCATTACCATGCTTCTCTATCTCTCTTCTTAGGAAGATAATAGCAAAAAGAAAAGTATGACTTTTAAGAGACTCACAGATATTTGCTCTGGGGACTGACAAGTGGGGTTTCCTGCAGCCTTACACCAGCTCCTCCTGAACCTTCTCTCCTGTTTTGCTTTACGTGAGTGTGTTGGGGGCAGTGCCCTAGAGCTGCTGGGATACAGATGAGGGGAATAAGAAATAAAAATTTGTGGGTCAAGATAAAAGCAGTTTAATTAAAAGCAAAGGCCAAGGCCATGCACAGAAGCAAAAGGAAAACAAAGATGTTATTTTCTACTTTCCGTCAGTAAGCGAAGTCCAGCCACTTCCCGGGAAAGCAGAGCTTCCGTATGTGTAGCAGCTGCTCCCAGAGACAAACACAGTAACAAATGCCCCCCTCCTCCTCCCTTCCCCTAGCTTTTATGGCTGAGCTGATG